GAGGGCCGTGCCATTCCCACGGGCCGACTGTTCCTGCGGGTCGCTGGGTCTGTCTGCTGGGCTCTTCTCCCTCACTTCTCATTAGAGATCGCAGAGCCACGATGAAGCCTATTTGTAGTCGGTTGCTTCTCTGCCTTTAGCATGCGTGGGTCATCTTGACCCCATCTCCTGGCCAACAGCCAGAGAGTTTTTGGCAGATTTAAAATCTCCTTCTGGTCGTGGATGCTGCAGCAATGTTTAGCATCCTATGCACTGGGGGAAATGTGACAGCTTTCCCCGCCTGCCGGCGTCCCGGCTGGCACAGCCCTGCCCTCACTCCCAGGGCGCACACGCAGAGCCACGATGCCCACGCAGCCTTGCAGCTGGCTGCCTGTGAGCACCAGCAAAAAGCAGTAGGCTGGGCCACAGCAGCGTGCTCTGCCAGCAGGGAGATGAGATCCCGGCCTTGCCGCACTGGTCTTGGGGATTTTTTGCTTTAAGATGCCCATCGCAGTGGTATCTGGGCAGGGAGGTGGGGACCTCTGTTGACCATTAACACCTTAGACTTGTGTGGGGTTTCGATTGCGGGTAGCTAGTGAACGGTAATCCACTTTCGCACTTCTCGGTAGCCAAGGTGACAGGTCCTGCTTGCAGCCAGTAATTGCCCGGGCTGCGGTGCGGGGCACTGGCGTGTGCTGTGCACCTGCGTGGGAGCTGCTGGGGTAAATCCTGCACCAGTGATCTGGGAGGAGGCCCAGAGAGCATCCCTGGCTGGGGGAAGGCAGGTCGGGCACCCGAGCACTCATCATGCCTGTGGCATGTTGAACCTGAGTGGGGGGGGAGGCTGGGGATCGGTGTCCTGGGACCCACTCAGGGCTTCCGAGCAAAGCAATGCTGTTGGTGGGTCACTCTGCTTCATAATGCTGCAGGGATGGTCAAGGGCAGACAGTGGGTACCCGAGGTGGGGGGTGCCCTGGACCAGCTGTGCAGGGAGCAGTGAGCACAGGGGGGGCTGTGCCATCCCCGGGGGGTTTGGCTCCAGGGTGCTGAGGCGCTGGGGTGGCCTGGGCACATATTGGGGATCCCAAACACTTCCCAGAGCTTCCTCCCCTTGTGCCAAATGAATCCACAGGGAGGGCTGCAGGAGGTTTAAAACCACATCCGCATGCGGGTCCTGCAGCCCCTGGGCAGCGCTGCCTGTGCCTCCGCACACCCTGCCTTCCCTCCGGTCCCAGCCCGTTTGCCACAGGGAAATGGATTTTTCTGTGGGTCGCGGGGCTTCAGCAGCAAAGCGCTTTCAGCAGCTGGGTGGCAGGGGAGTGCTCGCCCTGTGTGGGGAGCATTTTGCTGCTGCATTTTGTGAATGGGTTAAATGCTTGCTTTAAAAAAAAAAATAAAAAAAAAAGATCACCTCTTAAAGACAGCTTGCATCAGGTCCTTGATAAAGCACTCCGTTGAAAAGCCTTGACATTAAAAGAGGAAGATCCTTTGGCGCTTTCAGCAGCTGGGTGGCAGGGGAGTGCTCGCCCTGTGTGGGGAGCATTTTGCTGCTGCATTTTGTGAATGGGTTAAATGCTTGCTTTAAAAAAAAAAATAAAAAAAAAAGATCACCTCTTAAAGACAGCTTGCATCAGGTCCTTGATAAAGCACTCCGTTGAAAAGCCTTGACATTAAAAGAGGAAGATCCTTTGCTTAACTTTTAAAGGCAAGAGTGCGTGCGTGCCGCCTCGCCGGGAGGATTGATTGACTCTGAGAGGCCGTCCATTAGCAGCCCTCTCCTTCTGCGAGGCCAGGCTGGCGCTGGGCACAGGGGAGGTGTCTCCATCCAGGAGCCCTCTTGCAGCGGAGCAGCGCTGCTGGAGCGGGGCTGTGGGGGGGATGCCCGCTGCCACCCCAGCCTGGGGTACGGGGACACCCACCTTGGTGCTTGGGTGCGGGCAGGGCTGGGGTCCTTGGAGCCATCCCTGAGCCCTGCCTGGTCCCCAGAGCCCCCAGCCCTTCCCGTCACGGTCCCAACCACATCTCCCCCATGCCATGGCCACATGGCTCTGGCACGCAGCGATGCTCCCAGGAAAGGCCACGGCACATTGGAGTGTGCAGGGGAATGGCCGTGCTGCAGGCATACAGGGCAAACCGTGCCATCGCTGGGGTGCGGGGAGGTGCTCTGCTGAGGGACCTGAACCTGCCTGTGGAGACTGGGAGAAGCTGATTAGCCATTTTTAAAGGAAGAAGAGAAGATTTCAAAAATTGTTGAAATGCTTCCTTTTGGAAAAGCTGAATTTTTTTAAACCATTTTCAGAGAAAAACCTTTAGTCTGTCTCTTCCGGACCTCATCCCACTCAGGAATGAGGCACAGGAAGGAGCTTCCAAAACAACGCTGCGACTCAGCTGGAGCGGAGGAGCTCGGCACTGGCCGGGAG